GCCACAAATCAACACTGCAAACAAAGACTCTAGAAGCGCCTTTGCCAGTTAGTCTTTCTGCTGTTAACAACGCCACCACAACCAGAGACATCGAGTCAGAGGTTGAGGTGAGCCAAGAAGGCAGAGTACGTGAAATTGTCATGGACAACGTTAACCCTGGATCAAAGGTATCTTCATCTTGTCAGAATCTAAGGAGCATCAGATCATCACTACCTCTTTCTCTTTGTTTGATTTGGGGTAATGAATCACTCAGGTTGGAGGAACCAACGAACACATTGTTGCGACTCTTAAATCCGAGAAGGAAGAACTAGAGACATCACTGAACAAGGAGAAGATGCAAACTCTCCAACTAAAGCAAGAGCTAGCAGATGGAGAATCACGAAATTCAGATTTGTACAAGGTACTAACAATACTTCACATGTAACTGAAAGTCTCTCAAGATATCCTCTAAATATATCTTTGTGCTGACATTTTTATAGGAACTTCAATCTGTTCGTGGCCAACTTGCAGCCGAACAATCAAGATGCTTCAAACTTGAGGTGGATCCATCATCTAGAGCTTTTATCATGCCAATAAAACTAAACCCTAAACCTAACTCGATCTCATTTCCTTTTGAATCCCCAGGTTGATGTTGCAGAGCTAAGACAAAAGCTTCAAACACTGGAAACACTACAAAAGGAACTGGAACTCCTGCAGCGACAAAAGGCTGCCTCTGAACAAGCCGCAATGAACGCTAAACGACAGAGTTCGGGTGGTGTCTGGGGCTGGCTCGCTGGAAGCCCTCAGGAGAGAGATGATTCCCCATGATTATTTGTTTATTTTTCTTCACTTCATATTTGCCTTCCAAGTAAAGAAAGATACTATATTACTGATTTTTTTTTTGTCTGAGTCTCACTCATGGTATCTTCTTCCAATAATTATTTTAGCACCCTTCCTTTTTGAGATTTGTGATTCGTTTTAGTTCTCTGTAATACAAAGTATTCGTTTCTCTTTTTGGAATATTTGAATGCGGGTAATTAACAATTACTGTAAACCAGATTTCCAATTGTAAAATATTGTTATTTACAAGGAAGAATATTTCATAAAGACATTAGTTTTCAACAAATCATTTGAATCAGAGAATTAAACACATTTAAAAATCCTTAGTCTATCAACATTTAATAGGAAATATTATGACTTTTTATTTAAACACTTTTCATTGGAGATCATGTTATCTACAACTATATTGTTCTAAATTCATGTAATACCAGATATTCTTAAATGTATGACATAATGCATATTCATACTTTTTGTCTACTTGATTCATTGCAATATGAGAAATAAGTAAGAATTTTTATGAAGTTGTTTCAATTGATATTTTACATCACATCTGCTACCTCCTTAAAGTGATATCCATCATCTTCAACTATTAGCGAACATAAATAAATTGGAATGCTCAAGCTAGTCAATTTGAATCAGACAAATGAGGAAGAGTAGGGTCCCATTAAGTTTTTATGTTTTCAAGTCTACAGGGATGAACTTAATCGCATCTCCTCCAACATTTAATGAACCAATGTTCAAAAAGGAGCATTGGTTATCTATCTTACTTTTTCTAATCTTGTTTAAAAATATGAATCCGTTTTTGAATTTGTTGTAGCTATTCAATGACATAAGGAAATATTGGAATTCAACAATTGGGCAAACTAAAGCACATCTAAAAATAAGTTTGAATCTTTTATAATAATAATCAATAATTCATAAAAGAACAAATGACATTAACGTCTAAAAAGTCTTTAACAGTTAGGTTAAGACTAAATCATAATTTTTTTTCTTTTTTCCTTATTTTATCTTTTTAAAATTTTGAGTTTTTCTTATGTTAAGATTTGTTTTAGACCAAGATAAAAAAAGTACATAATTTGTCACTAAATACTATCATATGATTGAAATATTTGAAAGTAAGTTGTAAAATGGACTGGCCAATGTTTAATGCCGATCCTCTAGATGTATGTTGGACAATTTGTTTCACAATTCTGTTATAGACTATTCACGATAAACCATCTAACCAATCAACTAAATTTTTCTTACAACTATACTTGATTAATTAATTTATGTAGAAAAGGAAAAATAACACTTTTCAATAAACTATATTTTTTTTTCCTATAAAAAAGTGGGGGTTTTGTGGAAGTTTCATTTTTCTTCTTCCGTTTCTTGAAAGATAAAATATTGATGCAATATCTTAGAATTCCGCGTTAGGGATCGATGCGTTGAAATTTTATGGGTTTAGATGTTAAAGATTAGACATTTTTCAGTGAAACTTATGCAATGATCTATCTACAGAGGTGATCGTTTACTTCTATGTCGAACAAGGTGTACAAAGGTTCTCATGAAGGTAAATCCAGCAGAAAAAATCAGAATGCACAAGCTAAATAACATGTTGATGCACTAAAAATGACCAGAAGTTGGATCATCTTCTAAGATAATCAATGAACCAATATTTAGAAAGGTATATAGTACGATTGAATATATGGATTGAAAAAATCTGAATTAGGTGTTATAAGCTTTACATGTGTACTTTGCATTAAATTTGTGGTAGATACTCCATGACATAAGGAAAGACTGGAGCGCATGAACTTCAAAATGATTGAATTTGTTTTGAACCAAGGTTTAAAAAGTAATTTGTAACTTCATCAGTATCATGTAATCAGAAATAGTGAAAATTATATTGTGTGATGAAATAACTATAACTAGTGTTAAATTTCAAAAATAGAGATATAACGGACTATTTGTTTTTCTCGCCATTCACAATATAAAGAATTCTTATAATCAACTTGATTTCTCTTACAATGACTTGATCAGTCATGTTAAGCCTGAGAAGAAACAAGAATTAGCACTTTCTAATCTCAAAAAGGCTTTTAACCATATTAAATAGGATAAAATGTTAAATGTGTTAACAACACGGTATAAATCAACGGTAAACTATTTTATGTTTTAATTATTGTATGACTATTTTGGATTAGTTTTGTTTTTTTGACATCAATGTAGCAGACTCAAACTAAATTTTGGATTAGTTTATCTTTATATTTTATCTAACTAAATTTTGGATTAGTTAATGCTGCATATATTCTACATATGTTGGATAACTTTCATGTTGCATTGAGGTTATAATAATAATCAATGTAGATTTGTACTTAAGTGTCTAGACTTGTACTTTATAATAATAATCAATGAATCATAAAAGAACAAATGACATTATAACATCTAAAATTTTTAACAACTATTTAAAAAGTATATCTTGACTTGGTTTTTCTTATTATATATATTTTTTTAATCTTGATTTTTAATTTTGTTTTTCTTGGAACAAGGTAAGAACATAAGTAATTTGTGATTATAATATTATCATACAATTGAAATAGTTCAAAGTAAATTGTAGACTATAATACTATCATACAATTTGTAACTATAATATTATCATCCAACTGAAATAGGTTAAAGTAAATTGTACACTATTGAAATAGTTCAAAGTAAATTGTACACTATAATACTATCATACAATTTGTAACTATAATATTATCATCCAATTGAAATAGGTTAAAGTAAATTGTACACTATTGAAATAGTTCAAAAGTAAATTGTACACTATAATACTATCATACAATTTGTAACTATAATATTATCATCCAATTGAAATAGGTTAAAGTAAATTGTACACTATAATACTATCATACAATTTGTAACTATATTGGATTATTTGTTTCATTATCATGTTATAGTCTACTCACAATTTGTAACTATGTTGGAGTATTTGTTTCATTAGCCCGTTATAGACTACTCACAAGATAGATCATCTTACTAATCATGTATTTTCTTTTGCAACTATTTGATCAGTTACCTTAAATACAAAAAAAATAGATAACTAGCACTTTCATAATCTTATGATAGCTTTTAAGCATATTAGTGAGAAATAAATATTCAAAATGTGAACAACATACAACACGACATGGAGAAACAGTAAAACACTATACATATCCAAGAGTATGTGATAGTTTTGTATTAATTTTTATAGTTTATTTAACTAAATTTTATATGCACATATTTACATTTATTAGGTGTGAAGTTACAAAATACTTTAAGATTTAAGAATATGTCGATGTTTTGTATATTCAAAGAGATTGCATAGATTTTCTGTTGCATTGGGATTGGAGGTAGACCTACTATTTTCATCAAATTATGAAGAAGTTGATACGAAGTGATTGTTTTTTTTTGTTTTTTTTTTGCTAAAAGATATTTTAACTTTTAATAGTTATTTATGTTTATGAGTTTGGCGCGGAATGAAGATACAGTATATGTTAAATTTTCCACTTTACATATACAACTTTGAAGTATGTTAACTTTTTCACTTGACATATACAATGTTCAAGTACTCTTTTCCATCACCTCATAAGCATTTTCAACTGAACTCTTCCATCACCTTCAACTACCACACTGGCATTTAAAAGAAAGGGATAAATCATATACAAATTGAACATAACAACATATTTCACTAATTAGATGTGTATATATACCTTGTTTTGGTGGAAAATTGTGTACGCAAAGGATGGGATAGTCAGACTCTCTTGCAGCAAAGGTGTTGTAGTGCTTTGTTCTACCTCTTAGATTTTCAAGAAATGTTCAAATTAATTCATATTCCTTTTATTTTTCTTGTTATTTTTTTCAACACATTAAGATGGCATGTTTCCGAGGAACTTACTACCGGTAATGTCTTCACTGACTTCCCTTTCCATTTCCAAATGCGAGACTAGCTACAACAATTCCAAACCAGGTGTAATGGGTAGTTTTTTAGATTGCTCGAATAAACCTTAAACCCAAGTAAAAAAACAGTGATATTAATTAGTTGTTATTGCCATGACCATGAACTTGTTTACAAATATGATGATATATACCTTTTTTCGATGACTGTGCAACTGTATGTAATAACGGGCTCGTTCCTGTAAAACCTAATCTTTGTCTCTATTGGAATCAAGCTATTCCTCCTCATCTCCGTCCACAATAGAATCCTCAGGGTCGTGAGTTTTCACACCTTGCGCTTCCAGCAAAGAAGAGGCAACGTCGGTGGAAGTTTCTGTGGGCTCCCTCTTTCTTCTTTTTCGCAATCGCTTGATTATGATGTTGTAGAAATGTTGACTGATTATCGAGTCAAACTCTAAATCCCCCCTAAATAATAAAGCCCCAACTCACAACACACATGCCGATCATAACAAACATTGTCTATCTTGTTTATGTATACGTCCCCTCTTCCTTATTTAAAAAGGAAAAAAAACTTCACGTCACGTTATTTGGGGTAAAATTATTTCACTTCAAGCTGTATCATATACTAATATATTTAATTATTAATTTATATAAGCTGAGTATGTATATAGATAATAGATGTATTTGTGTTTGTATATGCATCAAGTAGTGATACTTGTCAAGTCCTCATTCAGTTGTTTTTGGTTCTCTACTAGGTAGGTAGTGGCGTGTGCAATGTGCACCATGATTTACTGAGTTTTGTAAGATTGAATTTGTTTGCATTAATTTTGAAATGAAATACAAGAAACTTGTGTTGTCAAATTCATGGTCAAACATTTCTATGTCAATCATCTATTCTATTAAAATCAAAGAGAAAAATATATACGGATTAACTTATAAATTTTTGAAATGTAATAATACAAGAAACTTCTGTTGTCAAATTCATGGTCAAACATTTCCATTTCAATCATGCTTTTAATATATTAAGTAAGATTTATGGTCAAGATTAATATTAACCCTTCAAAATATTCTGGTCAAACCATAACGTACAAATGATATATGTTTTTAATAAATCAACTAAAACGAGGATTCTCTCTTCTAGTCCAACAACAAAGAGAGATAAGCAAGAAAAACTGAAAGCTAAATACATTACCCATGTGGCTGTATAGGAGGAGGTGGAGCGGGTCTGCAAAAGATGGGATAAGTAGTGCCTGCAGACCAAACCACCTTAGCTTGATACTCCACGAGAGGTGCATCAGGAGAGTCAGATTCTCTTGCAGCAAAGGTGATGTAGTACTTAGTCTTGGCTCCTGGGTCGAAATTAGCTCTCAATACATGCTCAAACTTCACATTCTTATTGTTTCTTCGGTTGTGTTTTTCAACACATTCACATGCCATGTTCCCGAGGAACTCACGCCCGGTGATACCTCCATATATTTTCTTTTCAAGCTCCCTTTGCGTGACTACAGCAATTCCAGACCAACTGTACAACGGGATTTTATTCGATGACTCAAAGAAACCCTAAAAAAAACAGTGATTTTTTTAGCTGGTGGAGTTTTTTTTTTTTTTTTAATTTAACAAAAAGAACAAAATTGATGATATTATTATTACCTTGGTTTCGATGACCAAGCGATTGTAGTAACGTGCTTTTTCCTGAAGATCCTCGTCTGAGTACTCACCGTCATCAGAGGGATGATATTCCCGCCCATCGAAACTATCCTTCTCCCAACACGAATCACTATCTTCCTCTTCCTCCTCCTCTTCATCTCCGTCGACTTCCTCCTCTTCACCGGAATCCTCCTGGTCGTGTGTTTCCTCCAACTTGCGCTTTCCTAGCAATGAAGACTCAGCGCCGGGGGAAGTTTCCATTGGCTCCGTCTCGATCTCCTTTTTCTCGCCGTCGCTTGATTTTGTAGCCATGTCGATTGTCAAACCCTAAATTCCCCTACTTTCGATCCCAATTTGATTTTGTTTTGTCTTTTTAATTTGACGCCAACTCAGAAGACACAAGTTTCCATTGTCTTTTTTTAATAAACTACTTGTTTTATCCGCAGCATAATTCTCTTATATATATTTATTAACTAATGTTTCATTAGTTTAAAAATCAGCATAATAAATTATTATTTATGTTTTCAAAAAGCGCAAATGAAACATCAAATAATTATCAATGACAAAACTCAAACATCAGAAATATTTAAAAGAATATATTTCTATAACTATTTTGCTTGATTTATATTTAATTATAATATTTATACAAATATTTTTACTTAATTTATATTCGATTGTTATTTTTATATCTTAATTTTATCTTAGAGTCTGAGAAACAGACTAAGTCTTTGGTACCAGCTAGAGAAGCCTTTGAAAGGCCTTCCTTTAACGCCAGAGCTTTTGCGACTAGCGCTGAGGCTACATGTTTTCTTGGCGAGCTTCCTTGAGAAAGGGATTTCCCGGATTGATCTTTAAGCACCCAGCCCAAGCCACTTGCACACGTTGAGCTGTTCCAAGTAGCATCAAAGTAGAGACTAGTAGCATTGACTTGTAAATGAGATTGGCTTACCGAGACAGAGCAGTCTTTAGATGAAGCAGTAGATATCTTTGGCTTAACGGTAGCAGATTGCCACTCTTTTGCATGCTTTATAGCCTTTACAATCATATCTGTTTCATAGAATGACTTATCCTCGAATAATAACTGATTCTTGCTGGTCCACAAAACTCAAAAGATCCAAGGGTATAAAGGAGTAGACAAACCTGTAGGAGGGAGATTCGTCATCTTGGTACACGCCTTCAGCAGGTCCTCCATTGAAAAACAAGAGTTCCTTGACGGAGCTAGCGATGCGGGGGCGAGATCCCACACTTTGACAGCCATTAGGCAGGAGAACATGACATGGAACAATGATTCTTCACTTCCACATCTTTTGTATTTGCCCTCAGTTTAAATACCACGTTTTAAGAGCGTTTCTCCTACAGTCAGCACGTTAGACTTTAACTTCCAGAAGAAATGCTTCAACTTAGGGGAGCAGTTCACATTCTAGACATATTGTCTCCAGTTAAAGGACTCCAAATCACTCCCATTGTGAACCTTTGCTAGGGTATAACTTGATTTGGTTGAATATTCCCCTGATTTTTCATAGAGCCAGATTCGTTCATCATGCATGCCATTTGAACTCAACTCAATCTTCCTAATACTCTTATCATGGAAAGGTAGGTGGAACGTAATTTGGTCAATATCTCAGCCTGCTAAGTCCAAAAGCATTAAGTCCTTCACCATTAAGTCTTGAGCTCTCTCTATTAGAGGTCCATAAGGAGTTGACTAAGTCTCTGCTGAGAATCAATTCTGGCACCAAATGGGGATAGAGTCACCATTACCTACAAACCAGCCCATGACTCTGTTAATTATGTCTCTTCCCGCTAAAATACCACGCCACCCATGAGACGCTGCATTTGGGGCAGAGCAACTAAGCAAGTCTTGATGAAGACAATACTTATTAAGGAGTGTTTGACCAAACAGTGAAGAGAGGTTTCTGAGGAGTTTCCAAGTGTGTTTTGCCAATAGAACATCGTTAAACACTTCAATCTCTCTGAAGTCGAGTCCATCTGCGTCTTTTGGATAGGTTAGCTTTTCCCAAGAGATCCAACATATTTTCCTCTGTCTTTCTAATGAAATATCTCATCAATGCAGCTAATTATATATGCAAAAATCTATATTAAACTTTTGTTTTTTTTTTTCCAAATTTACTACGTTATTTGAAAATCTATATCAAATAATAAAACATGCGAATTTCTGATAGAATTTATTTACAGACGGTGGCAACGGAAATTCAAATTATATTGTTGAATATCTTTTCAACTGCGTCCTTCCCTTCCATCAACTTGGTTACCTCTTTCAACTGCTCTCATCCATCGCTTCGGTTACTCTTTTTAACTACCACATTGACAGTAAAAAAAATCTAACCAACAGTAGAAATCATAGCAGGAGGTTAATTATTATGATATATATGTTTTTAATAAATCAAACAAAAATGTGATACTCTCTTCTTTGTTGTGATAATACATTACCCCTGTGGTGGAGCGGGTCTGCAAAAGATGGGATAAGTAATGCCTGCAGACCAAACAACCTTAGCCTGATACTCCACGAGAGGTGCATCAGGAGAGTCAGATTCTCTTGCAGCAAAGGTGATGTAGTACTTAGTCTTGGCTCCTGGGTCGAAATTAGCCCTCAATACACGCTCGAATTTCACATTTTTATTGTTTCTTCGATTGTGTTTTTCAACACATTCACAAGCCATGTTCCCGATGAACTCACGACCAGTGATACCTCCATACATTTTCTTCTCAAGATCCCTATGCGAGACTACAGTAATTCCACCCCACATGTACAATGGCAGTTTATTCGATGACTCAAAGAAACCCTAAATAAAAAAAAAGTGATTTTTTTTAGCTGTTATATTATTCCCATGGCTGTTGAGTTTTTTATATTTTAATTAACAAAAAAAGAAAAGATGATACTATTAGTTGTTATTATTAACCTTGGTTTCGATGACCGTACGATTGTAATAACGTGCTTTTTCCTGTAGAATCTCATCTGAGTACTCACTGTCATCAGAGGGATGATATTCCCGGCCATCGAAACTATCCTTCTCCCAACACGAATCACTATCTTCCTCTTCCTCCTCCTCTTCACCGGAATCCTCCTGGTCGTGTGTTTCCTCCAACTTGCGCTTTCCTAGCAATGAAGACTCAGCGCCGGTGGAAGTTTCCATTGGCTCCGTATCGATCTCCTTTTTCTCACCGTCGCTTGATTTTGTAGCCATGTCGATTGCCAAACCCTAAATTCCCCTCCTTTCGATCCCAATTTGTTATTGTTTTGTCTTTTTTAATTTGACGCCAACTCAGAAGACACAATTTGTCTTTTTTTTTCTTTCTTTTGTCGCAGTTAAACTTTTTTTATCTTATTTACATATGACCCCTTCCTTCCTTACATATTGACAATATTATACAATTTGAGCGGCCCAATTTTGTTTTTTTTGTTACTGCGGCCCAGTGTGTATTATGACATTTTGGCGGTCGATGGTAAAAATCTAATTCGATATCCTATATATACAGTGAAACCTCTATAAATTAATAATGTTGGGACACCAAAATTTTAATTTTTTATTAATTTAGAGAGATATTAATTTATAGATATACTAATTGAACCAAAAACTCAATTTGGGATTATAAAATTATATTAATTTATAGAGAAATTTAGTGTATATTAATTTATCGAGTATTAATTTATAGAGGTTCTACTGTATATATACTTCTATTGCCTATTGATGTCAAGTTAATTAGTTGGTTTATTCCACTAGCAGATTTTTGAGAAATTATTAAACTTTTAACTGAATGTCTAATATTTAAATCACAATATAGATTTTTTTTCTGTTCAAAACTTATAACCTACATTGCACTATAAAAAGCAAAGAAAAAAAATTGTTTTAACTTCACCTAATGTCACATATATTCTAGTACAAATTAAGAACAAAAAAGTTTAGATGTATTTGTTTGAAAATCTGTATCAAATTGTTGACAACTTGATATGCTTTGATACAGAAAGGTTGAGAATGTAACTATTCTATTAAAATCAAAAAGAGAATACGTTACCAAAAAAGGAGCAAGAGATATATGTGCATTAGCTAATAAATTTTTGAAATGTAATACAAAAAACTTCCTGTCGAATTCATGGTCAAACATTTCCATTTCAATCATGCTTTTACTATTAGGTAAGATTTATGGTCAAGTTTAACATTATCTCTTCAAGATATTCTGGTCAAACCATAACGTACAACTATAAAAGACCATGATGAAGAGTTAAAAGTTATAATATTTTTTTGGAAGAATGAAGAACGTTTCCTTCACGCTTGTGTTCTTGGTGGCTCTTCTTTCTCTTGTCTTTCGTAAGTAAAATCTACTCTCCAGTCTGTAGCTATTTTCTTGTAAACACTCTTCACATGAACGATGGTATCATATCTGTTTACAAACAGAAAAATGTATGATGGAAATTAATCTTTTGTAATTTCTTTCTTTTGATAATTCTTTTTGCTTGACTAACATATTATCACATTTGTAGGACAAGAGCTTGTGGAGGGCAGGACATTAATTCCAAACAGAGGCGACGGGAATTATCACGATCCAGTTTGTAACCCCTATGATCCAAAATGCGTCAAACCTTGTAATCCAGAGAATCCAAATTGCGTCATGAAACAACGTGACATGGATACAAATAGAGCCGGCGGGAATATACACGACCCCGTTTGTAACCCGTCTGATCCTAAATGCAACAAACCTTGTAATCCAGAGAATCCAAATTGTTGATAGAAACAAGGCGTTGATAAGTTCGAATAGAGCTTATTTATTAAATAAATATTTTATTCCAAAATATATTACTCTCATATTTTGATGGCTTGTCTTATGCATCAACCGTTACATTTTGATATCTATTTTCGCAACGCTCATATTTTGATGGCTTCTTGTCTTATGCATCAACCGTTACATTTTGATATATCTATTTTCGCAACAGAGCTCCCACATTAAAAGTTTGAATAGTTAATATCGTTTATACTCTTTATGAAAATAATATATAAATTATATATAAAATAAAAACGAATTTAACTTATTTTGATTAGATCTTAAAATTAAGAATAATCATAAGAATTATACAAAATCTAAATAATATTTTTTAAATAAAATAATTTTGCTATATATTCTGATGTTATTTAAAAATATATTAAAGATAACAATTAAAACAATAGAAAATACATAACTAAATATTAATCAAGTCAACTTCTTAATTTTATATAACTGAAAAAATATTATTTGATTTTAAAATTATTTACAATAGTGAACATAAATTACAAAGAAATAGATGTAAAAATTGTCAAATAAAAGTATAAATATTATTGGTTTAAAAAAATAAAACAATTAATTTTATTATTATAATCTTTCAATTAGTTGAAAATGTATTAATACAATAATTATAAAATGTTTAGATCCGCAAATGCGGGTAAAACACCTAGTATATATATATATAATAATAATAATAATAATATTACATACGAGTAATCAAAGTTATTATAATTTCAAATACGCACAAAATCTTTTTATTCAGAGAAAGAGACAAAACTAAAAATACCAAAGTCTAGAAACATTCTTTTAAATCAAGATTTAAGCATATGATACTACTACATATACAAATCCATGCATATCAATCTTCACATTACTCTGTTACACATAAACAACTTCATTAGTAAAAAAAATCCTACAGAAACCAAACAATCAAACCTCTGTTCGTCGCTCATCGAAACGGAGCCAAAGGGCTAGGGCTATTGGGAACCCTAACACACCTCAACTCTCTACAAACTTGATCCAACATCCCAAGAAAATCCCTAACAATCACAAAGATCCTCAACGGGTTCTTGTCATCTCCTCTCACGTCTCCATGAAAATACTCAGCGATCTCTCCAACTCTCTCCATTATCCTCTTCTCGTCTTCCCTCAACTCCTCCAAGCTCCTCTCTCCGTATCTCAAAAACGAGCTCATTGAACTAACAAACGCTCTGTTCTCTTCGTTGCTCGCTAGACATCTCAATTTCTCTAGCCCGTCTCTTAGGTTTGAAACAGAACTCACAAGTCCTTCAAGATCAATCGTTGCCGTCTTCTTCACGTTTCTTAGCTCTGTGTTTAGACCCGAGACGAGATCTAGCCCCATCCTTCTGTAATCCTCTTCCTTCTCCTCGGCTGTTCTGTTTTTGTTTGATCTCTGGTTCATAATCCGTCCCATGATGCTGTCTGAAACCCTAATTCCTTCTGACCTAGATATCTCTTGCACCACGAAGTGGAGCAGAGTTGTCTTCCCATCTGTGCCCTTAACATCAGATAGCTTGAGAAGAGCGTCAAGCTTGAAGGCTTTCGCGCCGCCGCGTATAGTTCCTACATTCATCCTGTTCCCAGTCTTCAAGACAGTCTCTAACAGCTTCAGGAATAACCTGCTTGACTTTAGCTCCTTGCAAGCTTCCTATTTAGGTAACTTTAGTATTAATTCACCCTATCTTGTGACACAAGAAATCAATAAATGAACAATGTAATAATACCTCAAGCATTGAGAAGGAGTTTCTGAGATGAACCACTTCATCTTCAAATGTTTCTCTATAAAGCATTGCTTCAGCTCTTTGAAAAGCACATGGAACTCCCACAAGTGCCCTGAGAAATTTCTCAGCCGAGCCAAGCTCATCCACTGCTCCTTTGTAGCTACACAACTTCAACTCTTCTTCTTTAGTAGGCACCATCTTCACTAAAGCTTCTAGTTGCTGTAAACACAAGCCTTCCCCTGTAACAATAATAACGGTTGACAATCAGACTAAGTTCTCGGAAGTTGGAAGGGATTTTAAGTAATATTAAATTCGATCATCCGAGCTGATCTTGGTTAACCTTTCCCCAAGGCAGAGCAGATTTGATCAGCGGTTGCGTTGAGAGCTTTCAAGAGAATGGTAAAATTCTGAAGTCTTTTAGGTTCAAGAAGATGTTTTCCTGGTGATGGAGTTTTGCACCTCCCATCTTCGTTTTTGGTAGAGCTTTGCATTGTGTATCCAAATAGTGACTCAATCATCTCTTCATCCAATCTGTGTTATCCACAAAACAAACTACATAATCATACATTCTTGAAAACTTTTGGTAAGGCCAAAGAAAGCTGAAAACTTACTCAAATGAGCTTGTTCTGAGCTTATCCCAGACCATGGTTCGGTCTGGTGTAGCCCTCACTTTATCCCAATGAAGTGGTTTGAGCTTAGGTAATGGAGCTCCATCTTTACCTAACGGAGTACGTTGAGAGAAATCAAGAGACAGAGGAGGAGGTGGCGTTTTGTTGATCACTTGAAGTTGTTTTTGTGACGGTAGCGGCGGCGGTGGCGGGGGAGGCGGCAGAGGTTTAGAAGAAGAAGAAGAAGCACAAACTTTTGCAGATAGCTGCGACGAAAGCGTCTGCGGCTTAACCGTTTCTGGCGGAGAAAGAGTGTGAAGTCCTCTGTTTGAAAACTGCGGAAGCGGTGGTGGAGGTGGCGGTGGTGGCGGTGGAGAGATTCCTGAACCGTTACCGGAGCATTCAGGTATCTCTAGTTCACGTTCTGAGAAGCGTTGAGAGGATCCAACGTTAACACTACCAGAAACAGAGGAAGAAGAAGCATTCGAGAGTCTTGGATTTGAATACTGTGAGCCACCACCAACGGAATGAAAAGACTCATCTTCCTCTGAAGAATCACATCCATTGCTAACAACAGGAGCAGAAACAGAGTGCTCTGTTTTCTCATCATCATCTGAAGAATCACATCCACGGCTAACAATAGTAGCAGAAACAGAGTACTCTGTTTTTTCATCATTATTTTCTTGCACCGACACAATCTCTTTAGTTGAATAACTACCAGCATTGTCCGAATCTAGCCAGATCTCTGTTTCTAAACTTCTCTTAACCTCTTCTTCACGCAACTCATCCTCCAAATCCTTCTCCGTTTCTTTAACGAGAACAGAGCTCTGTCTCTCCAAATCAACACCAACCGAGTTTAAATACAAGAAGTCAAGAGTAGGGTTTATACTAACCTTCTGAGACTTCCTCTGTTTCCTTTCAAACGACAGCGTTTTACCGTTCTTCTTTTTGATTCTCGCGCAGAGACAGAACACTACAACAACACAAACCACGAAACCTATCCCACAAGCTGTTGACACCACAACAGGTACTAAAATCTTCTTAAACGTTCCTTCCTTCTCACGTTTCCCCCTCTGAACCTCGTGTTGTCTCGGTGGATGTGTCAAATGAGGCAACGGACGACGGAGATGCGGAGGTATTGGCCGTTGAGGAGCTGGAGAGTACGCCGGAGAAGGCTCCACTGGACCACGGCTTGGTAACGGAGACGGCGACGGCGCCGGCCAAGGAGAGTAAGGAGAAGACTCGGCGAGGTTTCTTCTCCGGGAAGTAGAGGGTTTGATCAAATCGAGTAAAGCTCTGAACTTTTCCAAAATTTTCTCGCCTCCGTCTTCTCCGACGAGTTTTCCGATATGGGTTCGGTGTCTCTCATCAGCAGAAATGCTACAGCATTGTAATGATATGGCCACTACAATGATGATCATGAGAAAGATCTGACGAAAGTAAACCATCTTTATGCTCTGTTTCAGATCTTTTTTATGTAAGGAAAAAAAAACAAAAGCTTCTCACATGTATAAATCACAGAAAAGAAACCAATTTATTATAGAAAACACTCTTTTTTTTATAAATCTTTGGTGTTCTTTGCTTTGAGACTTTAATGCTACTCCAAGGAACCCCTGAACTCTGCAACTGTAGTTGTACTGGTAATGGTAACACCCTCTTTCTCCATTAAATTGCAGAGCAACACTTGCTAATTTTTGCAATTTATACCCACCATTTTAGTATTAAAATATCTACTTTTGTTATTAAAACAAAATGAATAAATGGATAAATGTCAGTTTTTAAAATCATTAGAGCACCCACATTGATGAAACCCCCCTTGGAGGTTCATAGAAATAAAAAAATAATTTTTTTTTTGTTATTTTCGTTTACTTTAAAAAAAAAAAAAAAAATTAATTTTGGACCAATCATATATTGACACGTGGTGAACCCGGGGTCATCGGGGTTCACCGCGGTGAACTTTTGAGAGAGGGATTCATAGAAATCTGATTTTAATATTGTTTTTTTTTCTCGTTTTCTGTGTGAACTCCCCCATCAACCCTTGATGGGGGTGCTCTTAGATTTTGCAGTGTGTTAATGTGGTGACTTTTGGAAGATTTTTATTATGAGTTGAACACTGCTTTTTTGTGTTTAAGGAGATTATAAACAGTTTTATAAAGAGACAATCTGATAAGCAAAAGGAGAGAGAAGCATGAAGGTGTTGGTGTGAAGTGGGTCCTGCTATTGTTGGCAAACTTGGCTTGTAGAAACATTTGGTAATTTACTGTACAAGCTTTCCTTGTTCCTCTCAACCCACCATTGTTTTATGAGGCAAATACAATAAAATTTTATTTGTACTTATTGTATAGAATTTATTCTTGTGTTGGATATGAATGTGATACACATTACCTAATCACATTCATATGTTTTTTTTCTCATTAGTTATTTAAGTTGTTTTTTTCTCTGAAAAAACTCTTTGAAAAACGTTTTGTTGTGATAGTTTAGTGACAAAATGTGTAACTTGGCCTTTCAGGTCAAACTTAAGAGATGAAAATTATTGTTAGAAATATGTAAGATATTTAAATGAGAACAAGATAGGTATCATAGACTATATTATAAGCTATTATTGTCTCTTGTTTGGTCACATGCTCTCTGGCTTTCTCAGTCCTATATGAAAGATTGATATCTTACTACAGAGACAATACGAGAAGATAAACAGTTCACCCGTATGTATGATAATCTTACGATTTCTGTTTCCGAAGCTTCTGATGAATAAAAAACTAAGAACTTTAATTGGGTTCTGGTATAAGTATGACAGACCAATAGGTGGGTGGTGACTGAAATATAATTTAAACAAATCAAACAATTATTCTAGGCAAACTTCTCTGTCTCTCTAGTCGCATTCTAAAGCTTCCCAAAATGAGATGGTTACTTTATAGTTTAACAATATAGGTGTGAAAGATTGTTTGGTAGGATATGATGTTGATTTCTTTTGGGAGTTTCTAACACTGGTTTAACTTTAACATAATGAAGGACTTTTAGAGAGGTAGCTTTTGATTGTGCTTTTAAGAATAGTTCTAAATGATGATCAAAGTAAGTAGCTGATAGCTTGGTATCTAACATATCGTATGACATGTGTGTACTAGGAAAATGTGTTTACTTTTTAATAAATTATCTACTAAGCGGTTAAGGTTCTGAGAATTGTGTTTTAGTCCAATTTCTCATCACTTCGATGATAGACGTCTAAACATGGGGAAATATTGAGATCTACATATGTAACTATTGAGATTGAGTAGAATGAGATGCTAGATTTCTACACCATGTTTGTTACCTATTGTTTTCACTTTTATTGTGTCAGCAACTTGACCTACGTGGGGCCAAAAGCTGTATGGACATGTCTTGAACGATATTCAACGTATTATTACAATAATTTGTTATTATTGAAATAGTATACATACTCTTTCTCTGACTTTGTTTTTGAAAAAACAATTTTCCGACTTTTTTTTCTATGAATGGTTTTCCCAACTTTTTTTGATAAAACTAAATATTAATCAAAACATAAGTAGGTGGTTTAATCATCTTAACGCCTTAAAGGGATGGTTGTTTTCATTGCACAAATGTAGCTAGATTTTAGTAGAATGTTGTGTCTATAAATTTAATGTAGACTTTGAATGATGACGGACTGCACTACACTATACCACCGTAAAAAAATTTCTGCATATATATCTATGTGTTTTTATCTTTTTGTTATGATTAGAATTTAGAATCATATTTCATTTTTTCGTATGTTACCATTTGGAGTCTAATCAATTTTTTGCTGTTTCTGAATTTCCGATGAAATTATATAACTAGGTTCTCTTTTCGTCAATATATATACAAACCACAAAAGAATACCACAAAAAATGTATACATCGAACTTACATTAAGTCAAAATAACCTTTATTAGATCCGTATTTCATGGTATAAAAGTAGACAACTTGAGACTGTCGTCTGTTAACAATGCTACTGTATATTTTATTCAAGATTAACTATAAAAAGACAATGGGACCAACAACTGAAAACACTATATTATAAACCAGAAAATAAAACATCAATTTAATGAAAATATATTCCTGGTCATAATAGCAGCAATGCCAATATGATAAGAACTACGTGACTCTTTAACAAATTGTATATCTATGTTATGTATCATAAGAACTAAACCGACGACACATTCATTCTAAATACATGAATATCCTACACGGTCACGTAATGGTAACGTGAACGATTACAAATTTTCAAAATGTGGGTGTTACTTATCAATCAAATAAACCAAACGAGTTTAGAAGTCAAAAGAGTTTAGAGTCAACGTATCGAGCACACCAGTGAGACTTGTGAAACCATGATTTGGGGATGATTTTGCAAAAAGTATCTAACTTTTTGTCATAATTAAAAGTTGATAGCAGAAAGTTACAACTTTTGTCAGCATTTCAGTCATTTCAAAAAGAGTTTATCAATCTATGTTCTATCTAGATATAGTATATAAAATAAAAGGAATCCATATTTACAGAGAGTTGTTTGTACCTACTTTGTCTTGAGAATAAAGTAAAGAAACATTTCTGAGAAACAAACAAAATTTTAAAACACAAATATACTAACCAATGAATTGTCGGATATATCACATGTTTGCTCTCTAGAAGATACTGAAAATCATAATAGATTCCATTTGCGAGAAAAGTAATAACGTAAATCAATTTATTTCTATTTATTTTTATGAATTTAAATAGTTGCCGATTATAGAATACGTGGTTGGGCAAATGTCAACAGTACAATTGCAAGATTTGTCTCTGTCACGCGTACGCAATTGATAAAATCTGTCCCTTTTCTTTGAATAAATGCTAGTTAAGAATGCTCACCAAACAGTTTACGTTTGGAACTAGTCAACGTGGCGCCATTATCAATATGGGCCTAATTACTTTTCCATTAAAGGCCCATGTCCATTAAATAGGCCCATGATAAAAAAAATTTATCAATATTTCGCGCTTTAACGCAGCTTTCAGGCTTCTATGGCAAATCCCGCCATAAATCACTGAGCCAAATTTGCTTTTAGGGTTTTAAACTCCGAGTTTGATTTTCTTCACGGAGATGGAGTTTAGTATAAGCGGCAACGCGCTCAAGACCTTCGCTAGATCCATAATCTGCCTCGCACGCGTCGGAAACGAGCTCGTCGTTCAAGCTTCTCCCACACAGGTTCTCTTCCCCATTCGTTTAATTGGCTTTTCGTTCGATTCGTAACCGTAATTCAAACGATTTGGATAGTAATCGGTGAGGAGATTGCGATTTGATTTGATTAGAAACTGCAATTTCGTCAGTTAGTTCAATCGATTAGGGTTTTTGCACTATTGGAATATGTGAGGTGGAGGTTTGTTAAAATCTACGTTAGTGTATTATCTGTTGTATACAAGCTGAATAGGTTTTGATTATTAGTATTTTTCTCAGAGTTGACGTTTTTTTGGCTAATTTTTGGATTAATTTTATTTTGTTTCAATAAAAAATTTGATGCAGTTGGGATTGCACACTTTAAATGCTTCACGTTCTGCATATCAGTCCATCACATTTCAGTCAAGTTTCTTTGATGCTTATGCTGTTCAAGGTCCTCAAGCTCATTTCAGTGTCCTTTTGAAGGTACTTTGCTTTATATTATATATATTTTTTGGATGGAAACTAATGGGTTTATTGGTCTAAGAGATTGTTTCTGATATTAATTTTGCAGGCTGTTTGTTCTGTTCTTAGGACCCCTGTCGCTAGCATTGATAATATGAGTGTGAATTTGCCAGATCATGATGCATCTAAAGTCAAGTGGGGGTTGGAATGTTACAGTGGTACCTTACTTTGTTCTTACACAGTTTATTAGATAATAATAGTGTTATTGAATTTGGAACTTTTATTGAGTCCTCTACTTCTTAAATAATGTGTTTTAGCAGTTTAGAAATTACCTTAAAGATTATGATGTTGAGCCTTGTTTGAGTTTGTTTAATTGAATTTTTCTGTCCAGGTATGAAGAAAACATATTGGATTACTTGCAATGTGGAACCAGATATACAGCATCTGTCGCTTGATAGGAGTAGGTTTCCCAGTAGTTTAGTTGTGCATCCTCGGAATCTGAGCAAGTTGCTTGGAAACTTCCAGTCATCTCTCCAAGAGATTACAATAATTGCTACAGACCAGACTTCTTTTCCCTCTGATGCTGCAAGTGAAATAGGTGGGAAAGCTGTTGAGTTTCGGAGCTATGTGGATCCTACCAAAGGTCTGGACTATAAATTAATGCAAAGTTTGGATTGGTCTGGCTCCTGGTGTAGGACTGCTAATAATTCTTTTTTTTTTTTTGCAAACGCAGATGGTGACTCTTTGTTGTATACTCAGCTATGGATAGATCCATCAGAAGAATTTCTGCAGTATACTCACGCAGGTGATCCTATTGATATCACATTTTCCTTGAAGGAACTAAAGGTATAACATTCCCCCAACCGGAAACCTGGTTTGACCTGTATCCAATTTTCTTTGTGTTGATAAAGAAATGTCTTCAATAAATTTTAGGCTTTTCTTTCATTCTGCGAGGGCTGTGAAGCCGACATTCATCTTTTCTTCGAAAAAGCTGGCGAGTAAGAATCATCTCTTTTGCATCCTGTCTATCTCGCTGATAAATCCATTTCACAATGAGTCATTGTTACCTTGAAAATGGTTACGGTCTATAACAAATGCATGTGGTTCTCAAGTATGCTAGCTAAACCACCCGTGTAATTTGTTGCCAGGCCAATACTGATGGCTCCAAAATTTGGGTTGGGCGATGGGTCAAGCTCAAGTTTTGATGCCACACTCGTTCTTGCGACGATGCTTGTCTCTCAACTCCAGGAAGGGGTTCCGCAAGGACCTCCGGAGGCAGCGAACTCCACAGGCGGCCATGCTGCCGAGCAAGTAGGATCAGAGCCTCAAGAACGATCTAGACAGTGTGCCTTTGAGCAGCCATCTGATCACACACGAGTTTGGTCTGAACTTTCAGGTAGTAACAAATCTAATGGCTGTGATTTGTATTCATCATTTTATCTGATAACTAACACCTTAATTACATCGATGCCTGGCACAAGGAACTGGCACTAAGAGCGTTAACGGTTCCGGGGAGCCACAGGCTCAGGGAGAACAAGACGTGAATATCCAAAGAATTAGAGATATGGAACTATCAAAAGAAGGACCAGCTGGAAACAATGCTCCCGGACCTTCTAACTTGTATCCTTCACATTACATCTATCACAATCACTATTATGTCATACACTTGTTGGTGTGTTAGCTATTAACCCTTTAATTACAGTCCATAAATCGCTTAGCTTAATAGTCCATATCTCAAGTGACTGTTCTTCTTTCTGTATATGCTTTGTTACCTTTGACTTTTTATCAGCCAACGTCCCACACAGATGGATCACGCCGAAGGATCCCGAGGTAAACATTTCTACAGCTTTGTCTCTGTCTTGTCTTTACATATTTATTAAAAGTACTCATTTCTCTGTCACTTGTTTCTCAGTACGGGCTGAGAACAACCAAACCTTCTCCCAGCGTCATCCTAGTAATTGGGTAGACGCAAGTGAGGATGAAGACGAGGACGAAGGTGTTGACGCGACGCCACCTCATAATGAGGATTATTAACTTAAAAGTCTCTTCCACCCCTTGAAGTCATCCCATTTTAAATGTTCTTCAAAAGGTACCAAACCACTATCTCTCTCTTTATACGCTTAGATAAGTAAGAGATGGCCAACAAGTCATGAACGTCACCTTTCCATGTGAATCTTGTTTTTAGGAAACATTTTTCTCGTTAATTATAGGCTTCCATCAATTATTACGTATGATAAGTTTGTATCTATATTGTGCTATGTTTCTCCAAAAGAAAATATAAAGCTTCTAATCATTACTACTTTTAATAAGTGTTAACAACCATATGATTTGTTAGTAATCTATCAAAAAAAAAATGTTTGAAAACAGAATCGAATAAAAGCAAAATGTTTATTATCTGTATTAGATTATAAAAAAAAATTGGTTAAAGGGGGGGCCAGTTGGCTCTTGGGATAACTTGGTAACGCGTAAACGCGGCCTTGCTGATCTGTGACTTGGACCCACCTTTTTGTTCTTAACGGTTTCGGCGCATGTTACGCGCCGTCGACGTGGAGGGGGGAAAGATAGATTATAGCCTAATAAAAAGACAAGCTAGCCGTTGTTCGCTCATTTGAAAAATGAGTTTGGTATTGGGTAAAGATTCTCCATACCATTCTTTAACCTTAGATAAATTTATGTGATAAGAATGTTAACAAAACTATATAATATATTCTGCTGAAGGGGTGAGAATTCTGGATCATTTAACGGTCTCTGACTCATACACATTGATTATCTTTCATTTCATAAGAAAAAAAAAAGATCATCTAGAAATAGTGCTACCCATGAATGGCAAAGTGTATAATACTCGGTGACAATGTTTTTTCTTAAAGTGGTTTACATGTCCTTCAATCACATAGGCTTTTTTTTTTTTTAACTTTCAAGACCAAGTTGCATCTTGTCCGATAGATCGATAATGAAAAGGTCTAACCGGTCAACCATCTACCCATTAATTACGCAAGGCCATTATTTAGCTTTGCGGCTCTCTGATGCAAACCAAAAATTAAACATTTGTGAGGGTTACTTGAAACTTGTAATAACAATTGAGATAACAGAGGAAGTGTCCATTCAAGACTGAAGTTTCTATTGTTAAATGCATATTACTTGTTGAAAAATGCTGTTAAATGTTGCAATAGAACCAAATTGCAATTTTCAAAGTGTATGTTGAAGCCGTCCTAGTTAACCAAACAAGTCATGGGTGCACGAAAACATATTTGATGAAACTTGAGTGTAAGCCAGCGAATATTTCAAAGCATACAGAGACTATAATCTATGAATTTATTAATACGAAGCATATGCGACAATTGCGTTTAAATAATTTTAATGAGTAATAAACAAAACAAAAAACGCGTACCTATCTTATATATTAAAACAGAAGTCACCATTTCATTTTATGTATGATTTTTTAGTTTGGATCATATTTATAAATTTTACATATGTTAATTTTGGACCATATTTATAAATTTTACATATGTTAATTATGATATCTTTTCATATCTTATTTTTATTGGAAATATAAATAAATATTTGGAAAAAGATTCTAACAAAATCTTTTTGAAATCTTTTAGAAATATATTTCGAAAATAAGTTATTTCAAATTTTAATTATCATCAAATAATTAAAAATCTTATGCATTTTTAATCTATAAGAAAAAATAAAAAATTATGTAAAATAGTTCTAACAGTATCCAAAAAAAAAATTTCTCTGTTATGTAGGTCCAAGTTAATTTAATTTTCACATATATTTCACATTTATAAATAAATAAGAAAAGTAAATTAAAAAATACTAATTTATAAATCGCACAAACATGATTATAAAATTAGATAATATATAACATATAATTTTATTAACTTACTGATAAATTGTATTATAAAACCTACAAAATTTTAATGTTTAAAATTATTATTATGCCTCAATATATATTTAGTTATTGTTTAAAATAAAAAAAATTATCATATATTATTTATCTTATAGTCATAATTTATCATATTAACATAATTATTATAATGAACTAAATATGATAAAACTAAATTAAAATGATATATTAATATATTTTATTTTTATAAATAGAAATATTTATGTTAAAATAATATATTATGTTGTCAAAGCGGGCCAACATACTATATATTACATGTATACAAATTAATATATTTAAAATTTATATATATACAACAATATATCATCTACAATTAATATACATAAATAAATAACCATTTGGTTGACAAAACAAAACAAAAAATTCATAAATATTTACATATATGATTAATAGTAAAAATATATATACCCATAATAATATAAACAAATATATATAAATGAAATTTAAACCCCGCTCAACCGAGCGGGTCAAAATCTAGTACTTATTTTAAAGAAGAAAAAGAATGGCATTTTCGTTAATATTCCCACTCAGAAGCCCGTTGTAATAATTTTCCCATGTTATAAGAAGCTAGACAGCAATGCTTTAATTAGTTGTCTTCAGCTAAGTACAGAATCAAGTTTCAGACAGAGAGAGAAGAAAACACAATATACAACTAAAGAACTCTACCAAGCCTCTGAGCCAGAAGATTTTTAGTCAAAGAAGAATACGATGAACTCTCGGGCGATCTACGCCGTCATCACCATCCTCGCGATCGTAATCTCAACCGCACACGCAAGCCTCGGCGACTTCGGAGGCTCGCTTGACTTCGTACGGTCAGGATCTTCTTCACTCTTCTCCGGATGCAAAGGATCCATCGCTGAGTGTATAGCTGAGGAAGAGGAGATGGAGTTCGACTCAGAGATCAGCAGGCGCATGTTAGCGCAGAAGAAGTACGTTAGCTACGGTGCGATGAGGAAGAACAGTGTGCCTTGCTCACGACGTGGAGCTTCGTATTACAACTGCCAGCGTGGCGCTCAGGCGAATCCTTACCGCCGTGGATGCAGCACCATCACGAGGTGCAGGCGTTGAAATATATGAAATTAATTGAATGTTATGTTTTGCTCTTTTGTGATTCGATTTATTTGTTCTTTTAATTTATTTTCCGGGATATATATATATAATATGAGTTTGATTATACACAATGGAATCTATATAGAACTCAAAGAATCAAACACTCAAAACCACTTTCGTATTGCTTAGAAAAGTAACTCAAAAACTAAGCTCAATAATTCACACACTCCGTGATTATCAAACTGCAAACGTCTCAGATATATATAGCTAACAAAGGTTCCTAACCCTATTAGGATAAACACCAAATAAGTATTCCTAAAACACCGAAGATAAATATGANAATAATTCACACACTCCGTGATTATCAAACTGCAAACGTCTCAGATATATATAGCTAACAAAGGTTCCTAACCCTATTAGGATAAACACCAAATAAGTATTCCTAAAACACCGAAGATAAATATGAAACACCAACAATAGGATAACTCCAAATATTAAGATAACTTCCAACTCAAGTTATCATCAAGCTTAGACTAACATTCTCCCCCTTAAGCTTGATCTCACCTTCAGCCACCACCTTCACTCCAATCAGTCTCCTCATTTCTGCAAACCGAACTCTACTTAATGCTTTTGTCAATATATCAGCTCTTTGCTCAACTCCAGGAACATGATTTACTTCGACTAGACCATTCTCTACACACTCCCTTATGAAGTGAAACCTTCTATGAATGTGTTTAGAACGGCCATGAAACACAGGGTTCTTGGTAAGTTGAATTGTGGACTTGTTGTCAACACGTATGACCACTTTCTTGTTCTCCTTTTCCATGATCTCTTTCAAAAGTTCCTGCAACCATATAGCTTGTTTTGCTGCCTCTGTAGCTGCCATAAACTCTGCCTCACAAGATGATAATGCTACAATTTCTTGTTTTTGTGAGCACCATGTTATAGGACTATCACCAAGATAGAAGACGTGTCCTGTTGTACTCTTGCCATCATCAACATCTGCATTGTGAGAGCTGTCACTAAATCCCACTAACTCCATCTTTGTAGCTTCTGCAAACTCCAGACCAAGTGAAGTAGTACCACGCAAATAACGTAACACTTGTTTCAACGCTGATCCATGAGACTCCTTTGGTTCCTGCATATACCTACTGAGCACACCCACGCTGTAAGACAGGTCTGGTCTTGTGTGGAGTAGGTAACGAAGACAACCAATACTTCTTCTATACTCAGTCGCGTCTATACTCCTTTCATTTGGTGATCTTGAGAGGCTAACATTGACATCCATGGGTATATGAACTCGATTACAGTCTTGCATTCCTGTTTCCTTCAGAATCTTGAGAGCATAACTCTCTTGCGACAACACAATACTCCCCTTTTGTTGTTGAACTTCAATGCCAAGATAATAAGTTAGTCTCCCAAGGTCACTCATCTCAAACTTCAAAGCCATCTCTGCCTTAAATTCCTTTATCAGTGACAATGATGATCCTGTTACGAGGAGATCATCAACGTATACACATACTATGAGAAGTTCTGATCTCTCTTCCTTTCTGTAGAGAGATGGCTCCTTAGAACACCGAGTGAACCCAAGTTCCTTCAAAATCCCATTTAGCTTAAAGTTCCATGCTCTAGGAGCTTGTCTCAAGCCGTAGAGTGCTTTATGTAGTTTATAAACTTTGTCTTCCTTCCCCCTGATCACAAACCCTTCTGGTTGTGTGACATAAACTTCTTCTAGCAAGTCTCCATGTAAAAACGCGGTTTTTACATCTAAATGGTGGATTTCCCAGCTTCTGGATGCTGCAAGTGCAATCACCAATCTAATAGTCTCAATCCTAGCCACTGGAGCAAACACCTCATCATAATCAATGCCGTGTCTCTGAACATATCCTTTTGCAACAAGTCTTGCCTTGTATTTGCTCACACTGCCATCTGCATTTCTCTTAATCTTGAATACCCATTTTAAGCCAATCGGTTTGAATCCTTTTGGTAGATCAACCAGTACCCAAGTGTGGTTTTTCTCAATCGAACTCAACTCTTCCTTACATGCCTCTATCCATACTTCTTGATCTTTGGCTTCATTAAAGCTCCACGGCTCATTATTTATGATCATAAGAAGTCTCTCACCTTCTTCTTCGGACATAAGAACATAGTCTTCTAGGTATGATGGTTTAGTTCTTACTCTGTCTGACCTTCTTAGTTCGGTATGTTCTTCCTCTGTTTCTTCCGTTGTATCATTCCCTTCATCTTCATTTGTATCCTCAACATTCTTTGGTGGCATTAGATCAAACTCGAATGTTTCAGATTCTGTTTCCTTGTCTTCATTAGTAGCTGACCAGTTCCATTGTTTATCCTCATCAAAGTGCACATCCCTGCTTACTACGATTCTTTTATTTGTTGGATCATAGAGTCTATACGCCTTGGAGCCAGGCTCTGTTCCCAAATGCACCAACTTTCTAGATCGATCATCTAGCTTTCTTCTTCCTGCAGTTTCTGTTCTTGCGAAGCACACACAGCCAAATACCTTAAGATGACCAATATTTGGTTTCTTGTTTCTCAAGGCTTCATAAGGCGTTTGTCCTGACAGTGATCTTGTTGCAATCCTATTGATGAGATACGTAGCATGTCGAACTGCTTCCCCCCAGAATAGATTTGGTATGTTCATGTGTTTCAATAGGCTTCTTGTCATCTCAAGAAGTGTGCGATTCCGTCTCTCAACAACTCCGTTCTGTTGTGGTGAGTACGGAGCTGTTGTGTGTCTTGTGATCCCATGTGTGTTGCAGTAGCTTTCAAACTCGTGACTGGTGAACTCTCCTCCTCTGTCAGTTCTGAAAGTTCTAAGTGTTGCATTCGTTTCTTGTTCTGCAATTTGTTTGAAGGTTTTGAACTTAACAAACGCTTCACTCTTCTCTTTCAGTAATACGCTCCACATATATCTTGTACAATCATCGATTAGTACGAGTACATAACGCTTTTGTCCAGGAGTAGTAGGAGAAATAGGCCCACACAAGTCTCCATGGACAAGTTCGAGAGGATGCTCAGCTCTGAACGTAGTAGCTTGTGGAAAAGGTTTCCTTGTCTGTTTTCCTAACAAGCAGGATGCACACGTTTCCTTCTCAGCTTTAATCTTAGGTATGCCTAGAACCATTTCTTTGCTCACCATTATTTTCAACTTCTCAGTGTTGACATGTCCTAGTCTTGCGTGCCATCTAGATGACTCAGTAGGTGATGTAATTTGAAGACACCGTATGACATCAGCCTGTAAGTTTACCTTATACAGACGGTTCTTGGATCTAGTAGTCTTGATCATCAAGTATCCTGTTCGATCATGAAGCAGCAGTGTGTCGCCTTTCATTCTTATCTCACATCCAGCTTCCGTTGCTTGTCCCAAACTAATAATGTTACTTCGTAGACCAGGAATATAGTAGACATTGCTCAGTATCTTTCTTTCTCCGCCTCTCAGAATGAACTTGATTGACCCCTTTCCTTTGATATCGATACGAGAGTCATCACCAAATCTAACCTTTCCTGTGACACCTTCATCAAGTTTTGTAAAGAAAAGTAGATTACCACTCATGTGATTACTTGCTCCGTTATCAAGGTACCACATGTTTTCCATATTAGTCTCAGGTTCAAAGTTACTTGGCTTCACTGTATTTTCATTAAGGTAAACCACTTCATGTACCATTAGTTCGTCTGCCTCTTGCGTCTCTTCATCCTTTTTCTCAGTAGTTTCTTGAAGTTTAAGCATTCTGTCAGGGCATTCTGATGCATAGTGACCAACTTTACTGCACTCAAAGCAGGTTATGTGACTTTTGTCTCTGCCTTGACCCTGTTTCCAAGCTTCCTTCTGAGCGTAGAAACCAACTCTTCCTCGTCCTCGGCTTCCACCTCTCCAGGTTCCTCTTCCACTTCTACCTCTTCCTCTATTTGAGCTATAACCGTCATGTTGTGAATCATTGTTTGCGTACATCAGTTTTCCATTGTCGTCATGTGATTCACTCTCTTCCTCTTCATTAATTCTTTCTTCAAACGCCTTTATTCTCCCCACTATGTCTTCAAAGTTAGCTGTATTAAGGTCCAGCATCTGTTCCAAAGAGGCAACCATATGAATGAATTTCTTTCTTGGCAAGGTTTTTAAGAATTTCTTGACAAGTTTGGATTCATCTATGATTTCTCCTAAGGATGCAGCCTTTGAAGTAATCTCAGTTAACCTTCCAACAAAAGCATCAACATCATCTTCTTCTTTCATCTTGATTTTGTCAAAGTCAGTCATTAGTTTTTGTAGTCTGGCTTCTCTGACTCTTTCGTCTCCAACATGGCGAGTTTGGATTGCGTCCCAAACCTCTTTTGCTGTATTCAAATTCCCAACTTGCAGTGTTAGCGCCTCCGGTATTGATTGAACAATCAAGGCTATAGCCAGATCATTCTTTTCTTCATTCTTGTTACCAGGATCAATGGTTTCCCAAACCTTGTTAACCCTTAATGCAATCTTCATCCTCATAGCCCAAACTGTGTAATTTGTGGCTGTTAACATTGGAAACTTAATGGACGAGCGTCCAGTTTCTCTGTTGTCTGCTTCGGCATCTTTCACGTCTGTCATGTTCTCTGTTTTCTTTCAATATCCAAGCTCTGATACCAATTATAGAACTCAAAGAATCAAACACTCAAAACCACTTTCGTATTGCTTAGAAAAGTAACTCAAAAACTAAGCTCAATAATTCACACACTCCGTGATTATCAAACTGCAAACGTCTCAGATATATATAGCTAACAAAGGTTCCTAACCCTATTAGGATAAACACCAAATAAGTATTCCTAAAACACCGAAGATAAATATGANAATAATTCACACACTCCGTGATTATCAAACTGCAAACGTCTCAGATATATATAGCTAACAAAGGTTCCTAACCCTATTAGGATAAACACCAAATAAGTATTCCTAAAACACCGAAGATAAATATGAAACACCAACAATAGGATAACTCCAAATATTAAGATAACTTCCAACTCAAGTTATCATCAAGCTTAGACTAACAATCTATAGTCTTTTGTTTTGAAACAGAATGGTTATTGTTTGGTTGTTCATATAAATATATCAAGTTTGCATAGATTAAGAATAGTTATTAGTTCAAGAAGTGATTGAGATCTGCGCTTAGCTTTGTGTTGTGGCAATTTTAAATTGTTAACGAAAGGTAATTATTTCAAAAAAAAAATTGAATCTGAGTTCTGGAACAGATGTGTATTGATATGTAGACCGTATTATTAATTATTTATTGTCTGGAAACAGAAATGAATTCCTGTAATAGTTGTTGGTGGCATGTTGGCTAATAATGTAATGATGGGACCATTACAGCCTAACACGCTTAAATTCAAATCATTTTGTTCATTCATATTGTGTATCTATCTTCTTGGAAACTTCCTTTATCTGCAGTTCATTGTTCTTTGGATTTCAATATAATTAGTTTGCATAGTTGGCTACTTTTATAAACAAATAATTGGATACTTTTATAAACATGAAAATTTTCGTAATAAGAATAAAATTTGGGATGTGTCAAATACGAACAATAAACATACATTCATAAAAATTGTTCGAGATATTTGTTGATTGTAACTTGTTT